AGAATCACAAGGTTGTTATAGTATAAACGGATTTTGCAAGGTCATCTCCACAGGGATTATTAAATAATTCGAACTAATCAGATTCCATTTAATTATTGTAAAGTAGAAATTGAAGTGATTGATTTTAAAACCTAATTAAAATAAAAACGAAATTAATGAATTAAAATAAACAATCTGCAATATTAGAGCTAGAGAGAAAGAAAACAGTTTTGGGAGAATAAAATTAAGAAAGCACTAGGGTTCCACCATCACCTAGCAATCCTATGAATTTTTACCAATTACTTATGATCTACACATGCCACTTTGAAAGTTAGATTTTCCTAATTCATATTCTACTTGGAACCTCCAACATAGAACGTATATCTAACATGCAACCCGTCCGGACGTTCGGATCAAATCTAAACATGAAAGACTCATTATTCTTTATGAAAATCCTTTGAAAAACCATGCAATCCTTAAAACGTGATATTCATCCTAAGAGAAATTACAATTATTAATCACAAGAAGCCAGCATCAATTTCAGGGAACCTTCCGACCAAAATTGCATCAAATTACTTTTCTAAAGATCCTAATGGTGATCAGGCATTAAGACAATTAGATAGTTTTTATCCCGGTGATTAACAATTCAAAATATGCATGCAATCAATCATAAACAATTAAATAAAAATCACATATTCATGCTAAGGCTCAAGGCTTCGCCCTAGCAAAAGAAATTAGTTCCGCATATTCATAATTGAAATCATAGAAATATCTATTAAGAAATTGGATTGAAAACACCTTCAAGTAGAAAATCTTCAAAACCCTAACACTTCTCTCTGTCTCCAATATTGCATAAAATAAAGCGTACTCTAAAACTGTAGACGGCCAAGCAATATATCTGCTAAGCCCCCACACAAACCCTAGCAAACTAAAATTAATAAAAACCCTAAATAAAAATAGTAAAATTCGTCTAAAATCTGAACAGCCACGTTTTGGCCCATAAGCTGCTCCAAAACTGGCCCAATATAGCTGGATTTGATGTTTGGAATATTCTGAACACTTTTCCAGAAGGCCACGAACCCATCCGAGGTCATCTTGGGCTCCAAAAATGCAATTTAAGCCCAAAAACGTCATTTTCCAGCACTGCGCACTGCTTCTTTATTTCATCGCCAGAAAATAACCGCTTGGTGGAAAAATCCCAAATTTTGATACGATCAAGCTAAGTGACTCACGAACGTCCTCCAACTGGAATTACTCCAAAATTCGTCCATTTGGTCTTGTTTTGCTCCAGAGGAAGTCGAAAGTCCTATATTGAAAATACAATTCAAAGTATCAAAATTCTTCCAATATATTAACCAAAATATACTAAGATTAGGGTAAAATATATAATATAAAATCTACTCATCAGCCGTGTGATCGATTGAATTAAAGAATATCAAATGACAGAAATTAACAAAAAGTAAGTAACAGTTTAATGCTCCACTTTCTCCTTTTTATTTCGTTTTTTTTTTCTTTTGTCTTCAAGGGTTTGTCAGGTTTGTTATGGCCGGATGAAATAGTAGGAACGCTAAGAGGGTTTGTGTGGCGACTAAAGGGTGTCACGTATTTTCTTTGTTGGTGATGGAGTTATTTTTTTGGAAACTTGGAGGGATGATTGTGAGACTGTTAACAATATATTTCGTGTTTACAAGGAGGTTTACTAAGGCAACGGTAGCTTTTATTCATAATGTGGATGAGACGAGACGACTAAAACTAAGTTATTAGGAATGTCACTAGTAGTATGTCAAGAGAAATACTTGGATCACTGGTGAAGCTACAGAGGCGCAAGGATGTGTGGTCGCACCTGCCAAAACTCGAATCCCATGAGCAATTAGCCACCCATCTGGTCGGCCACGACAGCCACCTCAGGTTGATCGTCTGCAGGCATACTTGCTCGGACGTGCTTCGCTGCCATGGTCCATGGATGCTCTGAGAAAGCTACTAAACAGTTTCGGGGGAGTGTTAGGGTTTTCCACTGGGATTTTTTTTCTCTTATATTGTGGGCGCGGGTGAAGTTAGTTTCGTTCTTGGGCATTGGATTTGGTACATTATAGAAATGAAATTGGGCCAAGTGGCCTTCTTAGTTATTACCAGAAAAAGTTTGTTGCATGACTCACAACTTTACCATTTACACAGTGCAAAAAATGAAATAATATTCATTGCATTATGAAAAATTTGATGCAAATATATTGTTTTAAAAACCATCATATTATATAATGTGCATAACTCAAGTTTTAAATTCGACTCATATAGAAATTATTAAAAAATGTTTAGTAATGAGTTTGATATTAAGTTGTAACCTATTGTAAAAATATTAAGTTGTCATTGGCAATCCAAACCCTGCCATTTATGGCTCATGGAATAGCTCAATTAAGCTCAATGGGTGATCAATGATTGAGTAATAGCTTGGTTGTTTACATTGAGATAGATGACTTTGCTTTTATTGATAATGAGCCTATTATGCGACGTTTTCATGGTATGAAACCTCGCGGAAATAATTGTAACTTGTTTGTATTGATAAATTATGAATAACATTAATATTGTTTACTATCTAAAAGGATTTAGTTGTCTACATTTTTTTTGGAACTTTTTACCCTTTTGAATTCCTCCACTCCCTTTGACAATTCCTAGTTTTGCCAATGCTTGGGATGCCTATGAATATGGGTCAAATGTTGAAGGAAAGATTGCACGGCGTGGAGGGTTATTCATGTCCAAAATGTGAAGAGTCATCGGAGAGTGTTAACATAACAGAAAGTACGTTTTTTTTTTTTTTTTAATCTCATGTTTTCTACAAGAATACAATTATGTTATTACTAGAGAATAAATTGGTTTTAAACTCACTATTTACGAGATTCAAATATAAGTTTCTTATTTACAAATAAAGATAAATACCATTAAAATACATTACAAAGGGGCCACAAAACTATATTTTATTGCCTTTGTAGTGGGCTTTTAGTGAGAGGTTCTATCTTTGGTTGAAGTTCTGTAAATAGTTCTATGTTCTGTGTCTTCTCTTTTATTTGTTTTCAAATATACAACATTATATGAGTGGAGATTTGGGTTAATCTGGCCAATGAGATACATTATATCGAACTCTTATTTCAGAAAAGTCGAACCTGTAAATATGGCCAAATTAAGTAAAACAATGTCCTCCATTCCAATCGAGTCCAAATCATTTTTTTTGTAACTAATGATCCTTTCAGTGAGGGACTAGGATTCTATCCGGATTCTTTTTATGAAAATCTTATGACTCAATTCATCTTATTCGTTCATTAATCATCCTACTGCTAGAAATCATTTTAAATTTTTGGGTAAAAGACTGTTTACTACCCTCATGTTTCGTAGTTTTCAACATTTAGTACATCAAGTTTTTTTCGTCTCAGATTCATACCTAAAGTGTAAATTTTGGGACAGTCTCATACATCCGTTAGTCAACTGTTAAGTTTTCTGTTAACTGTGATGTGGCGCACTGACTGAGCGCCACGTGTCATCAGAGTTTTTTTTTTTCTTTTTTCTTTTTTCTTTCTTTTCTTTTTTTTTCCTTCTTCCTTCTTCTTCTTCCTTCTTCTTCTTCCTCCGACTGCAACTTTTTTTTTTTTTCTTCCTCCTTCTCCTTCTTCCTTCCTTCCTCCTTCCTTCCCTTTCTTCCCCTTCTTCATTCTTCTTCCTTCTCATTCTCCTTTCCTCCGAATCTGGGAAGCTTTTTTTTTTTCTTCTTCTTCTTCCTTTTCTTTCCTCCTTCTTCCTTCTTCTTCTTCTTTTTCTTCTTCTTCTTCCTCCGAATCTATCCAGATTCAGTTTTTTCTTTTTTTTTCTTTTTTTTTCTCTTCTTTCTTCTTCTTCTTCTTCTTCTTCTTCTTCCTCCGAATCTGCCCAGATTCAATTTTTTTTTCTTCCTCCTTCTCCTTCTTCCTTCCCCTTCTTCCTTCTTCTTCTTTTTCCTCCGAATCTGGGGGAAGATGAAAGCTTTTTTTTTTTTTTTGAGGAAGAAGAGGAAGAAGGGGAAGGAAGAAGGAGAAGAAGGAGGAAGAAAAAAAAAAGGTTGCAGTCAGAGGAAGAAGAAGAAGAAGAAGAAGGAAGAAGAAGAAGGAAGAAGAAGGAAGAAGGAAGAAGAAGGAAGAAGGAAGAAGAAGAAAGAAGAAAAAAAAAAAAAACAAACAAACTTCCCCAGATTTCGGAGGAAGAAGAAGAAGAAGGAGAAGGAAGAAGAAGGAAGAAGGAGGAAGGAAGAAGGAGAAGGAGAAGGAGGAAGAAAAAAAAAAGTTGCGTCGGAGGAAGAAGAAGAAGAAGAAGGAAGAAGAAAAGAAAAGAAAGAAAAAAAAAAAAAAAAAAAACTCGGATGACACGTGGCGTCCAGTCAGTGCGCCACGTCACAGTTAACAGAAAACTTAACAGTTTAACTAATGGATGTATGAGACTGTCCTAAAATTTACACTTTAGGTATGAATCTGAGACGAAAAAAACTTGATGTACTAAATGTTGAAAACCACGAAACATGAGGGTAGTAAACAATCTTTTACCCTAAAATTTGAAGAGAATCCTCATAAAGATTCGGCGAGAATTCTCGTCTTTTGGCTAGTGCGAAAAGCCAAAATTCTCCCTTTGACTTCACTTCTTCCAAGGCTCCACCAAGAACAAACTATAATACTTAATTGTGAGTGACTAGTGCAAGTCCACAAGAGCTGCACCAACCTTTCCACCAATTACAAAGCCTGCCAGCCAAACACCCCAAATCCCCTCAACGGCACATTTCTCTCAAAACTAGATCCTTGAAAACGCGTTTAAAATGGATAATGTTATGAAAACTAAATTTATGGATTAAATTTATAAAATAACTGACTTGAACGAGTTTATTTCTTTTTAATGACACATCATTTAGTTTGCAAATTTAATCTACAAATTTAGTCTCCCTCACAATAGCCAAACATAATTGTTGGGGACAGCAGTGTCTTATCCAAACCCCAATGCAAAAGAAAAAGAAGATTAGAAATGTTGTGTTTCTTATTAAGCAAAAATAATAATAATAACAGGAGGAAAATTGTGCTTTTCCTGTTTCGCTTAATACAAGAAAAAAAATGGAATAAGGATAAGCAGATTAACACCCTTTGTGCGTGTTACCCAATCCATCCCCACAAGCCTTTTTGTATTATAATATTATACATCTGCGAGTGTGAAGAGGCTCTGCCCATTTTCACCAATGCCTGCCTTGATGAGAGCCACTTCCGCCTCCTCCGCCGCCTTTGTTCCTCGCAATGAAAGAATTCTTCGGCTTTGGTATCTCATGGATGTCCATCACTTGAATTGTTCTCTGCTTTTTGGCTTCACAAAAAAAGGCACATCCCAACCAATATAAACACCGACGTAATGAACAAAAACGTACAAAAACAAACCAACATGTCCAAAGTTTTAAGACCCAACCATTTTCAGCTTCTTTGTAATTTGCCTGAAGTCGTCTTCTGGCAGAAGCCAATCTATCAGAGTCAAAATTGCTTTCCTTCTGCCCCATCTGTCTCTGCAAAAATCAATTAAGTGACAAACAACACTCAGTGGAAATAATTTGTTTCGAATTATAGTTTTGGAATTCACGTTATGATGCAGCACTGAAATTACTTACACGTGCACTCGACTAAGCTATAAATGGAACTAGTTAGCTTAGTTGAGTTGAGTTTATTATATTTGGAAGCATAAGCTTCAAATTTTATATTATCTTCCTCAAAATTTCAGCATCCAAACATAGACTTAAATACTCTAATTTGGTATCCATACATTTTGAGGAGCAGAAGCAGACACAGGGGTCAATTGTGTAGGTTTTGGTGGAGCATCCCTTCTAGGAACTGCCTTTGACTTGCGTTCTGGTTCTGAATTGTTCTTGTCTGACCCAGAACTCCCATCTGTGTGAAAAAAATGATGATTAATAGTAACACAAACCGGCCCAGCTAAATAAAACTGTAAACAGCTAGATTTTCAGCAAACGACGAAGAGGAAGTGTAGAATCTGATTCTATACTTACTGTGAGGATTTGGAGAGTATGCAAAATCAGGAACCTGAGAATCGAAAGAAGTGAATATTAGAAAGTAAGAATAAAGGATGGAATATTCCACAAATTTATCAAAAACAAATCTTTCTTTGACCTGGTGAAGTCCATTGTGGGGAATTTTCTGCTGTGGTGAGTCTTCATCAACTGCAAACAACTTAAGTTAGGATTCAAAGTAACTTGGGCAGGATTCCAACTTCTTCTCATCGATTGAAGTTCTTGCAAGAAGCAGAATTAAATTAATTAATAAGGAAATAAGGATCTTATGTTTACCCATGGTTGAAGATGATTGTTGTTCTCCATGTAACTTGACCCATTCATTCACAATACCTTTCCATTTACTGTAAAAAAAAAAGCAACAAAATAAATCAACTTCTTTCTTTTTTTCTTCAATGTCGAAACTAAAGGACTTTCACCACCAACAAGTGAAGAGCAACGAAACATGTCCATACTTGACAATTTGCTTTGCCAATCGCCTAACAACATCGCTTGGATGCTGCTTCCGCAATTGACTCACATGCTTTCCAATATCAGCCTCCTAAAAATCCCAAACAACAACTAAAAATCACAAACTTGGCGGAAGTTTTTTTTCTCTTTATTAAATGGCGAGCGGGATTCAAAATTAGAGAAGGAAAAAAATTAAGATGACCAAATCAAGAGATAATTGGTGAGAGAAGTGTTTTTCCGTTTATGAGAGCACATATAAAAACACCCCAAAATTACCTTAAGTTCTTGGACTGATATTTCCATATCTGCTAGAGTTTGAAGCAACTCAACCAATGTATCCTCAGACTGACATGAACAAAGTTGCTTAAACAATCAATAATAAAGAGACGAAAAAAGACAAGACACAACCAAACCAAAACAGGAAATGAATTGAAGACTGACAGAAAGAGAAATTGACCTGATAGGGATCCTCAAGCTGCTTCTTAATGTCTAGAATCTTCTTCTGCTCATCATCGAACAACCCTGCGTAGGGATCCAACTCCTCCTCATCCTCCTCACCACCATCTCCACCAACAGACTGCGGAGTGTACGGTGAAACTGCTTTGGGCTGGTTACCATTGTGCCCATTAAGCCCATCAGCATCGCAGTTTGGGCATTGAGGCGGAACGGAAGTTGTGGCATAGAGGCGCTCGACAATGCCATCCCTCCGGTGCTTGAGCTCAGTGCCATAATCAGCCGAAGCGACAGCTATGGCAGTGTCCATGAACGTCCATATATCCACTTCCGAACTTTCTAAGATGGTCCGAAAGTCGTCATGGTCCATTGTGTCGGCCTTGCAGTCAAATACAAATGCAGTCCGTTCGATGATGGATTATTCTCAGATTTTGAGATTGCATTGCCAGATCATGAATGGAGTTATAAAAGTCGCTTCACAAGAAACAACAACCAAATCTCCGAAGGCACAGATCTGACTCGGTGTTGCAGAGCTGTCAATAATCCAAGCTCCAAAGAGAATCCCCAGGAAAAAGATCAAATTTTCTGAGTAACGATGAGAGAAACTCAATTGATTTCTGGGTTTGTGTCAGAATTCCTTGATTCTTTGCTCACTGTCCAATTAAATTTGACCTGCGTTGAACTTTTCGGACAATTGAACAGGAAATGGCTATACCAAATCCTATAAGAACCCCAAAAACTGGCAGAAAAACTCTATATTCTTTCTTCCCTCTTTCAAATCCCGCCAAGCAATGCCCAAACCAAATTTCTTACACTTTATCTCGTTCACAAACTGCTGAAACCGGAAAAGAAACAGACAAATATGAACTATAGATATCCATTGTTACAGAACATCAAAGCTCATGTAGTGCTATCAGAAAATTAAATACACAGAGAGTACCCGAAAGAACAACCTTACTGAACTAGTGACCAATCACATAAATCATCAAACTTCATATAATACGAAACATTATGGAAATTGTAAACCCATGCAAAAACAGCTAGAGTCCTATAAACAATTAAGCAGCTTATCATCGTATCAGTAAAATTCAGATTCGAGAGTAAACACACACTAAATACAGAGATAGATACACAACACAGAAATTCAATGTAAAAGATTATAATTTCTCATCTGGAAAAACACATGAGCAGCCAATCAATATTTAAATAAACAGCAAGAGAAAAAGAAAAATGACAACCTGAATTCACATAGAAAGCAACGTTTAAACAGAATGATGTTTACAATTTAGATAAAATACCTAAATTAGAAAAACGAAATCCCTAATCTGGAAAAAAAAAACCAAAACATTAAAACACTAACCCTACATTCAGAGAAATTTATACGGAAAAAAATATAAAAAAAAGAGGTCAGATCTGAGGAAAGATAGAGAAGGAGACATACGGAGGAGAAGGAGCGGAGAAGATGCTGTCCAGCGGAGGAGGGGGGAGGAGGAGGATGGAGGCGAGGATGTTGCTATGGGCTGTCTTAATTCCCTCTTTTGTCCGGTTTATTTTACAGAGAGAAATAAAATCATGGAATTTTCCAATGGGTCGAATCAGCATGTAGTGCGATTGTGCTACCCCACTTTGGGTTTTTGGATCAATCCAACGGTCGTCAATCAATCGGAAAAGCAGAACGCGAATATGCAAACAATAAAATTATGCAATTCAATTTCTACTTCACTTTTCAATAACCTATCCGAATCAGGAATAATTGAATAATCGTGACTTAATATTAGTTGTCATTTTAAAAAAAAAAATAAAAATGAAATGCAATGAATTTTTTGGGCAATTCGACAAGGAAAGAGTATATTTAAAATTCCAAAACAAAATTGAGTTGCCTCTCCAAATTCAAAAGGATTAAATAACTGTAACTTGTTATTAGTTGTTCTTCTTTTTAAAAAGAAAAAAAAAAGAAATGCAATGAATTTTTTGAGCAATTGGACAAGGGAGGAGTATATTCGAAATTCCAAAATAAAATTGAGTTGGATAGGATTGGGTCGAGTCGAATAATTGGATTATTTATTTGAGTTTGTATATATGTTTTAAAATTTGGATTTGGTTTGGTTTTGAAGGTTTGGGACTTTTGGGGTTTGGTCATGGGTGCGCTGCCTCGTCAGCAGGTTTTTGTTTGTTGTGGTTTTGAAGATGAACGGACACAAAAAGGGAAGGCGAGGGAGGGAATTGACCAATTACGACATTATCTTAGCGCGTGTTTAGGTTGGGCTTGGGTGACGTGGCGTGGCATGGCATCATTGGTGCGAATATTGTCTGCTTCGTGTGTTAGGGAATCATCCTATATTCACCTTTGGATTTGCTTCCTTCATCAGCACTAAAGGACTCATTTAGGATTGTGGTATTAAAAATAAAAAACAGCTTTTCAAAAAAAAAAATATGAAACATCAAATGTTTTGGTAAAACAAAAAATAAGTGATTTTTAGGAAAAAAAATGACAGTAGAAAAGCAAACAAAAACAAAAGCAGGCTCTACCATACTTCTTAAAAAATGATTTTTTTTTTCAAAGCATAGTAATCAATTCTCATTTAATGAAACTTTCAAATGGCAAGTATACCCACATATATTTAACAATTATTATATCACATTAAATAACATATTATTTTTAGTCATTTAAAATATTCACAACAATTTATATAAAATTTTACCAAACACTTAGACACTGTTTTTCTGTTAAAAGTACTTTTACAAAAAAAAAAATGTTTGTCAAACACTGAGCAACTTTATTTTATAAATTCTCACAGCACAATAGAGTCATTTTTTTTAAAGCACAGCAATACCTAGCCCTAAGATTATCAATCACGTTTAAATTTTTCCTTTTTTCACACATATTAATAATTTATTAAATAATACGTTTTTTAAAATATTTTAACGTACAATACATGTATTTTGATTAAAAAGACATACAACACACATATTTATACTTGTTTGTACACATTTTTCGTGGATTAGAAAATTATTTATTGTTACTATTTATTATAGGAATGTTATTGTGTAAATCATATCATATTTGGAATATCATTATGGCATTCTACCATATCTCTTAAGGCTAGATATTATCATATTAGACTTGTAATCCTATTGGGGTAAGTGTTACAGCCCGTCCCAGAGATGTATATTATTTTATTCTTGATGGTGTGAAATGACGGAAATACCCATGGACGTTAAATTGTGTGATGTGCTTTAAGTGTTGTTTATGGATCACTATTCTCAAACCTAATTGTTTGGGACCAATTAGGATTAAGTAATTGTGTAATTTGGATTGTTGACCAATCCTAGACCACACACACACATCCACATCATCTCCTCTCTCACTCTCGTACACTCTCTCTCGGTTTCTCTCTCTCTCTCTTTGCTATATGTATGGACAAGCACAAAAATCACCTCAATCTTCACAGATCGAAGGTTTTGAGTGCACCATTGTGTTCCTCGTGGTGCTACGAGTTTATTGGTACCCAATCCAAGTAAGGAACCTTTCGAAGAACTCGTGAACCTGTAACCCAATTTTCATGCATTGTTCATACTCACGTAAAACCTTGTGTTTTAGGGGAATCTAAGCTCATAGGAAGCTTAATGAGGTCCTCACGAGTCTTAGGGTAGTTCATTTGAAGAATTTGGATGTCGGGATCGCGAGAAACGAAAAGTTGCAGGTTTGGTGGGAATTTCGAAGCTTCCCTGACGTGATTTCATGAGATTTGAAGCTTCAAATAGGTATAATGCCATTCTTCTCACTCTAAGCTTTCATTTGGTTCAAATTTTGTAGGAAATGGTTGAAAAACGAGTGAGAATAGTGAGCTTAAAGATTTGCCCAATTTCCGGCGTCGACGATGGTTGCCAGAGTTGGAGGTAGGAGGTGAAGGAATATTCCGTCAAGTATGACGGAATATTCTCACGCCGTCAGTTAGTCGGACGGTTACCGTTAGGTTTTAACGGAATATTCCTGATGCCGTTTGTAGAATCCTTCAGAATCCCCTGCGCGTGGCGGCGCGTGGCGGCACGTGGCGGCTCGTGCTGGGTCAAAAAATTATTTTGAAAATTTGGGGATGATCCTGAGGTTGTGTAGGTCACTATGGTATATTCATATACCCATTTTGAGCAACGTATGAGAAGTTATTAGCTAGTTTTGTCTATGTGCTTTAAAATAACGTTTTATAGTTAATTCGCATATAGGTGAGACTTATCTCGAGGACGAGCATATCCACGGGCGACTCGGGGGTTATGACCCGTCGACATACCAGTGAGTGGGCTTTTGTTTTCAGTATATATTTATATACTTGATATATTTCCCAGAAATGCATTTTTTTTAGGAAAGTATGCTTTGAAATAATATGCCAAATGCTTTTATATTCTGAATATGCATTTCATGGTTACGTATATATAAATGTGGTGCTGTGGAGGCACAGGTAAGTTCAGGTAAGTTATGTTTGGCTATGTGAATCATCGATGATGTGGTATGTGATGGATTGATGTTGAGCTCATAAAATTGCACCTAGAGTGATTGTGATTTAGCCAGAGATATGAAGTACAGGCCTGTTTATTTATGTCACCTCCCGCACTATATGCTCATATTGGATCCAACTTAAGTGAACAGTCTTGTTGTACATACCTTATTTATGTTTCCGACTCGTAGATGACTAACGATTTATCGCCCGGCTATTATGAGAGAGTAAAATTGAGCATAACTATATTACACCCAATCTTGTTATACAGACTTTTTTAGTGGTTCCGACTTATGTGCAGTATATTGCCGTATAGGTCATTGTAGTGACTCCGGCTAGATTGACTTAGAGCTATGAATTCAGTTGTACAAACTACCACAGGGGTGTCGGCTAACATATCATATTTCTATGAATTTATTCTTACCTGAATTTCTTACTCTGTTATATATTGGTATGGCATATATTTGAATATGATTATGTGAAGCATGAATTGAATTGATATGATTTCATATATATATATATATATATATATATATATATATATATATATATATATATATTATGTATATGCTTATATTCTGATTTTGGGAAAAATTATACATGTTTTACAGCGAGGGGTTAGATATGTTGATAAAGGAAATGATTTTGTAAAACATTTGTTTTTGCCCACTCACGTTTTCTGTTTTGCGCCCCTCCAGGTTTAAGTAAGCTTGTTGTTGGTGGTTTGAGGACGTCGGCGGTTCTAACCTATCTAAATAATAGTAGGACATTTCTAGTACTGTATAATTAGTACTTATCCTACTGGACTGCACCTCGACTTAATATGCTCTAATTAGGAGTGTTTACTGTTGTAACTAACTCCTATCACTTCCTGTTTAGTAGTACACTCTAGTAATTCAGTTTTTAATTATTCGTATAATTCTTATCTTTATTGCTTCCGCACTGTGCACATGGCTACGTCACTTTCACATGATGGCCAGCATGCCTTGATCTTGGTCGGGGTGTGTCAGTAAGAAATTTATCTTCCCTACTACTATAAATATATGTACTATGGGGTGAAATAACACACACCTCACAATTACACATCTCTCTCTTCTCTCTCTATGTCGTCGATCACCCACCTCTCTGTTTTTTATAATTGTTCAGTAAAATAGGCTTACAACATGTTATTAGCATGCTCTTGATGCTACGCTAAAAAGAGTTTTGATCTTTAATTAGAAGAGTATTGCGTTTTTAATTATTCTTCTTATCATTAATGTATTATTTTATTGAATTGATCAATATGTTGTTGATTTAATTTAATTTTTCTTTGTTGAACGTGATAAAACGCATTGGAGATGCAATTCCGGCTTTTAGAGAAAGATCTTCTACAAATTCAAAGATTCAGTTGTTGTACATCAATCAGGTTCTTTTAAAATAAATCGAGATATTTGAAACGACTATGAAGCATGAAAACATTCTCCATGAATCCCCTATTTTTATATTTTCCTTCTGATACACACACACACACACGCGTGTGTGTGCTGGCACCAAGCCGAGCTGGTTGGCACCAAGTCGAATTAGCTGGCCTACAACCCTAGCCCTCTCCAACAAAGCCTCCAGCTCTGTTGGGCATGCTCTCGCGCCTCTGGCCCAACTCCAGCAAGCGTGTTGCTTGTTGGGCTATATCCCACGTCTCGGCCCACTCGCAGCAAAGCCTGCTGCGCTTCTGGGCTCGCCCGTGCCTTGACCTGCGACCAAAAGCCAGCCTTACGCTAGGCTTCTGGCGCCTAAGCCCATTTCCAGCAGCCTTGAAGGAAATATTTGTGAAAACAAGTTCATTTGAGCAACATTTATGTATGCAATTAACAATTAAAAAATGGAATCATGCTTGTATGCACTCAAAAACAAAATTTTACCCATGAAATTCAAGGCCTAGTAATTGTGGTGAACCAAGACTCAACTCAAATCTTAAAGAAAAGAGTTGAGAAACTTTTATACCTTTGAAACACCTCTTTGCTTAGCAAATGATATTCATCCATGTGAGGGTCTTCTTTCCTTAGTCTACTTGCTCCTTGACTCCATGGATGTGGATGGACGAACTTTACTTCTTGGCTCCAAGA